ATATATATACATATACTTGTATCAGAAAAATATCGAACAGTGGGACTAAAATACTGAATCGGGAATTTTCTGAATCGTTGCACCACTCTTAAATACCAAAAGAAGGAACCTGATTTTATATTGCGTATTACTATCCACAATTGCTTTCTCTTTTTAAAACAAACATTACCTCTCACTTTTTGTACTATTAAATGTTTGAGATTCTTTGTGTGTTATTTCCATAAATTAGAATAAAGGCAATTAAAAAAAACAACACTGACCTGCAAAGTTTAACCGGCGTATATGCTTCAGCAGATGGGTGCCATTGATGGGATCCATTTTAGCGCAGAGACCCACCTTCCCTGGGCAGAGTTCTTGGTGCATATTGTGCAAGGCATGAGCCATTGCATAAACTGCATCGATGACAAACTGCACCTTTCCTTCTTGCTCGTAATTCGAGTCCTTTCCTATTCGCTCCTGATCTGTAAGAACACAAAGACATTAGCAGATTAGACTCACAGCATGCGCTGATTTACAGAGTGTGTTTTACCACTTTAATTTGTTACACGTTTCTGAAATAATGCAAAAGTGCATCCACTGTGCCACCCTTCATTTAGCTTGTTTTTCATTATGTCAAGTGTGAAGTTCAGGCTGGCATTGATATTCATGCTCATGAGCTATTGTGAGTGGCCTGAAATGATTTTCCAAGTGGGTCTGGGACACTCAATCACTGGCCAAAAAAATCACCAGCGTTATAAAATCAAGAAAATTAGTAATTTAGGTCTCCAGTAATTTCCTTGAGTGGATCTAACTAGAAAAATTATGCCCTCGTAAGTTTGTCCCTGACCCTCGTTTAAAGCAGGCAGATGGTAAAGCATTGTATTTGGTACAATGCTAAGAGAGAGGTTCAAGTTGAAACCAATTCTATGTCTAGGATACTGTTTACAAATGCCAACAGTTATTAACATGTATCTGTCACCACTACATTGTAGAGCAGCTCAAGGTTGGTCGAATCTGTGCAAGCTGCTTGGAATGAGCAAAACCTTTTTAAATGAAAGATGTGGCAACAGTCCAAGAGGCGTAGAGGGAAAATGCATTGCTCCTCTGTGAGTCTTACTCCTTAGCAATAACCGGGTCTTGCCTTTTGCAATTAGCTAGAAGGTAAACATCTGAATTGCCACAGAGGAGCAAATCAATTTCAATATTTGGAGGGCAAATTTTTTCTCCTTCGGCAAATCTCATCACTTTAAAACAAAACTCTCTCTTGTATTACCTGAAGGATTAGACCAACTTCTTTTTAAGCAACGCTGTAGGCATCTTGGCTTCGGCTGACATCTGTCTGCCATTTCCCATTAGCTGGTTTAAAAAAAAAAGAAAAACTCCCGAAAGTTCCAATTCGATCAAATCCTGACCTGCCTATAAGTAGCTGTCAATATAGCGAAGACTCGAGAAATTACTGAATTGAGACAGACATTCACAGGACAGAGCTAATCCCCAGACAGGCTCAGTGTAATAACTGGTGATAGGAGTTAATGAATACGTGGCCCAAGTTGTTCCATAGGTTTTTTTGTAATTGTTAATTGCTGAGAGGAGGTGAGGTCTGGAGGGGGGAAAATATAACATGTCAATCTTGACTTATCCTTTCTGTCCGCAGCCATCAAATCATAAAGCTGTCACTATGTAACTCTGCTGCAAGAGCATCGGAGATTATAAGAAAAAAAGCACACACATACACACAAAACATGTGTTTTCAATTTAGATTAACAATAGACTAATTACCAAGGATGAGCTAATGATAGAGCTGCATATGTTTATAAAATTGCAAATGGAATTCAATTAGGCTTTGCAAGTTAATAAACACAGTGAAGGGGATATAATGACTGCACCGGTGGGCCAAAAAACAGCACTTGTAGGGCTGGTTAGTTGCTCTGCCTGTTGCAATATTTACCAGAGATGCCAATAGTATCAACTATATTTAACATTAGCTATGTTTACATGCGCAAAATTCTTTGATCGGATTGAAATGTATTCGGATTAAATAATCGGAATGTATCATTTACGTGCGGACAATCCGATTAAGACAAGTGTTTACAGGCTCTGGGACGGTTAATTCTCACAAATTCTCTACATTTAAAAAAATGGTTAATATGAGGGATCAGGTTTACTGGTTAAGTTTAGGGTCTGGGATCTGGGATAGGCTGTATAAGATTAATAGTAGTTAAATTTAGGGTCTGGGATGGTTAGTTTCGCGCATTTCCTACTCTTGTAAAAAAATATGACGACGCGCTCGTCCTCCTCCACCTCATCTCGAAAAGAATGGATGCGCGGGGGGTACCCGGCACGTCTATAAGTTGACGCCGACGGCTACCTGACCAAGCGTTAATATGTTGACGCGGGGGGCGTGAGAATGCGTTGGCAGGTGACGCACGGAGCCCTTTTTTCTTTGCGAAGCGGCGCAKGCTGTGCATCTTCCTTCTTTACTGAATGAGAGAATGGGAGGAAAAGTTCTGTGCTGCTGGAAACCACTGGATTAAAGTCAGCATACATGTGCAGTCAGGTCAGTTTTCCACAATCAGAATAAGATGATCAGATTGTGTTTACATGCACATCGTTCGGATTATCAATCGGCATAAACTACCTCTCTCATTCCGATTACAAATTCATTCGGATCGAGCTGAATCAGGTCAGAATAATCTGAATGGGGTGTTTATGTGACACATTTTTATTCCGAATGGCCGTTTAGTCCAATTACTTATGTCCTTGTAAATGTAGTTGTGAGTTTTGTGCAAAAGTGGGCCACAAGTACAACAAAACTCTAAAAAAATACTCAATTCTGGACTGCTTCACCCAACAGCAGTAACAATGACAAAAGCAGGGATGTTGTGGTAAATAATAGCAAAGCGSTTGCTTTGCGACATCTATTTATCATTCAACGTTTGTCTTTTTGTGGTTCAAGCTATTTTCAGCGGCCACTTCAGTCTGAGAGCGTTGCTGGCCTCCAGATCAGAGGAGGTCTCCTTCTGTCAGCTATCTTTCATTCGTTACATCTCCAGCTCCTCGCTTCCAACCAGAGGGGTTTTAATGTCCCTGATTATCTTGTGAGCGTTTGAAATGCATGAATTATTGTTGGAGGTTACGGCTCAGTAATTAAGAGCCACAGGGCCTCGATTGGACGGAGATTGTCACAGCTTTTGGCCGCCACGCTTATGCCACAGGGAATCCTGTGAGCACGAGAGTGTGCGAGGGTGATATTTCCCTCGCAGGCTTGGCAGGCCACCCACACCAACTTTGTATTGTGCATTCTCTACAAGAACCATTTCCCTTTTCCCACCGTCTCTCCCTTTAGCTTCCTCTTCAGTGGCATTTTGGCGCTCTCGCACACATTTTCCAGGCTGGCATTTCAGGGAAATCTTTTTAGATTAAATAAAGTGGAGGCAAAAGAGTGGGTGTTCTGTAGTGAGGACTCACGCAAGACTTGATGTGACAGAGAGTGTGGGCTAAAGACTTCTGACCTTTTTATTCAGCTTGTGATGAGCCACAGGCCATGGAGTCTTTTTCCTGCCAAGGCAGTTGAACACCCTCTTAATTAATATGACACTGCTGCAGTGTCTCTCAACTTCCTGTGAAATTTATTTCAAATCTTTTCTAATGAGAATTTTTAAACTAATGAAAAGATTCATATTTTTTCTTGCCCTGAGAAGAACTGTCATTATGGATTTAGCTATTGTACACTGTACACATTAAAATAAATTAAAATATTTCTGTGTCAGTGACATCCTAAATAACCAACTTATAATGTTTTCTAAMGTTTGTTATTGAGACTTTTTAAAATTGTAGTATTCTACTTTTGCATTCTTAATGTTAAACTTTTTATTCTTGTACTTGAGGTACTCTTTTACTAGTTTGTGTTTTGTGACTTATTATTTCTATGTCAAAGTTTGTTTGTAAACCATTTTTAAAGAGTTTGTTCATTTAATTATAGTGTTTATGCAAAATGAATCAGTTTAATTTGTTAGATTAAATGCTAGCATTGGTGTTAAAATACTTAGTATTTGTTGCTGACTGCATATGCAATTTTACTTATAAGTTTGATTTTAAAAAATATGTCTGATGTGTTTTAATTGTACATTTTACATAATAAATTATATTTTAAAGGAAATCATTTGCCATTTTAAGTTTTTTTCGACAACTACAAACTAATTATCATAAATGCTATTGGAATTTAGTTGAGAAAAATCTTGTGAATTAGTTTAATTTTGCAGTAATAAACTGTTCATTTTTTRTAGAAAACAAAATGGCTGTGTTGACTAATAACGATATGACATTTTATTTTACAGTACAGCTACTGTTATTAACTTTATTACAGTATTATTGTAGTTGGTTTTACATTAGTTTTACCATAAAATGAAATTACAGCAACTACTGTATCTAGTTTTACAACAGTTTTACCGTAAAAACAAATGCAGTAACTACTGTATTTTGTTTTACAGTAGTTTTACTGTAAAATAAAAGTACAGTAACTTACAGTATTTAGTTTTTACAGTACTTTTACTGTAAAAGAAAATACAGTAACTATTTTATGTATTTACAGTAAAACTACTGTAAATAAATACAGTAAGTTACTGGATAAAAATTGTCAGTAAGTTACTGTAAATTTAACGATAAATCGTGTACACATTAAAATAAATTAAAATATTTCTGTGTTTTAGGAAGGAAACAGATCTTCAGTTCACCAAAATTGCTGTCAATCAACAGGTTATTGTTAAGTGCATTCTCTAGTGTTAGGAGAGTAGGTCGTGTTTTGGTTTGAGATTTTATATCCTCTGCCAAGGATTGTTTACAGCTCCCTGTTTTCATGAATGGCCAAACTGAGAGGAAGCAAAAATAGCTGTGCTGAGTTGCTGCCCAGCATGTGGTCGCGTCGTATTAGTTCTGTAGTTCTAAAGCCTTACAACAGGGGGAAAAAAACTATAAGTAGAACCAGAAATGCCTCAGGCAAAATTCTAAAATATGATCGAATAGTGAATATTTAATAATAACTAAAATATGCTTTATCAGTTTCTACTTATTTAAATGCTGCAGGAACTTACCAGAGCAGTACATGACTAATAACTCCAAACCTCAATGAACTGAAGCATCAGTGTTTAGATTTTAACATAATGTGTTTTGACTGACTTCTAATTAAATAAGTAATGACAACATAAAATATTTGATGTGCCTTTTCTTTGGAATCGTTTCAGTCCAATTGTTGGACATATTAAAGACAAGATGATTCTATTGTTATGTCTTAATACTTAAAGTCCCAGAATTGGCTGAGAGTCTGTGTGTTCGTTTATAATGAGTAAAAGTTTTCACAGAATTCAAATCAGTGTTTCGTTTTGTATGTTTCTGGCGTAAAATCAGATAAATGAAAACACAAATAAAAAATAAAGGAAAAAAAAGATATTTAACACAACAGCAACAAATCAGCTTGCAGAAGCAT